ATTATCAACCCCTTCCCTCTTTTGGATGCACAAAAGTTTAAAGGAGGTGCCCAATGTTAAGTGCCTATAATTATGTGAATCTGGGTTGAGTTATAGCTCTGCCTCAAAAGTTCATGTTCTCCATTATTATCTATACTACTTTTAGACCTTAGACAGAATTTGTGCCTTGACCTTATTGCCTGCAGCAGAGCCTTACTTGTCTTAGGTATAGTGTCAAGGGTGGTAATGGTTGTGATTTAGTTGTTGAAGGAGTTAATTTCTCAGACTATTGAGTAAGAACAACCTTCCATCTACTTTCAAAGTGAGAGATGAAGCATGCTGAGTCCTATACCTTTGTCTAAGATCATGGGAGACGGGGATCCAAAGCTTTGGTTCAGGGAGAGGGCAGGATGTGAGTCTGAAATCACAGAGAGTTCCTTCAGATACAGATGGGGCAGTGTGAACGGAAGCTTTTGTCAACTTCCTAAAGACAGAACTTTTGATAGCCCAGTATTACTAAAATAGTATTGATCAGGACTCTTGGTCTTGCCCCAACTCAAACTTGTTTAATAAAAAATAAATTTGGTTTATGTAAAGAAAGTTCTAGGGCCTGCTCCTTTTTAGGCCCTATCAGATCTAGATTTTAAAACAATGCCAGTAGAAATCTGCCTTTGTGCCTCCTTTGCCTCTTACTTTTCTGTGTTGTCTTCATTCATAGATAAGATTATCTTTAATATTAAGAGTGGTATTTATCACTAAGTATTGACTTTTGAGAGTTTAATAACATGGTAGGAAGACTTAAGAGGGTCATATCTCAAATAATTCCAGTTAAAGTCCCAGTAATAAGTCTAATTTGACTCAGTTTGGATGGCAGACTTATCTCCAAACCATTTACTGTGACCAAGAGACTGAAATGCCCCAATGGGCTAGCCTGGATTATGTGGTCTGAGATTAAGGTGAATCCCACTTGAATGACATCAATTGGGATTGATGGTAAAAATCTTTTACCCATGGGATGAAAGGTGTAGTGAGTGAGGATTAAAACCAATATAAAGCTCTTGGAGAGCCTCTGCAGTCCTGGTATGGGAGTCTAAGAAGCAGTTTAGATAAAGTTCTAGACTCTATAGGAAAGATTGAAAACCCCATCTGGGCATTGTAGGGCTGGGTAAAGGATGGACATCATCATGTCATCCCAACCATTCTAGTTCTAAACACTGTCTTATTGTTATCAAGAGATAACACATTATCTCTTGAGTCTGTTTCAAGCTCAACTAAATCCCCATGGCCTTTGGAAAAGGGAAGGAGTGGGTGGGGAGGGCAAATAGCAGCCAGATCTTCTAAACCATCCTTGTGGCAAATAGTCCACATGTCAGAGTTGTGTGAGGTCTCCCCTTGCATTCTAAGCAGCCGGAATATGAGACATTTGCAAAGATGTTCACCCAACATAAAAACTGTGCTGTTCGATAATTATGTAAATTAGCTGGCAATTAGATAATGTCACTCACTTTCCCTCTCTTGCTTGGTTCCCACACAACAGATAAGTGTTTGGAGCTTCAGTATCATCCCCAACCTTCCTTGTAAACTTGGGAGCCAACCACCTGGACCCCAGCTGCCTGTGCTGAACTGTGACTCAGGGGTGGGTGGCCATTGATTGACTGGGTGAAGGAGGTTCTCTGTTTTCCTTTGTCCCATTTCTTGAGGGAATGGGATTTCTTCAGACGCATGTTCTGCTAGATGGCTGAAGTGCTGGCAGCAATTGGCTGGAGGCTTTGGATTACTAATATAAGGTCATATATAGCATTTGGACATCTGGGAAAATTCCCAAAGGTCCTTGTAATGTCCCTAGAAAGAAATAGCTCTTTAGGAGAGAATGTGGACAGTTAATAGTATATCAAGTCTTGATGGAGTGGTTTAATGGTATCATTCCTGCATCAGACCTGCTTGGTACCTATGAGAATGAAAGCTTGGCTTCTCTTAGTCAGCCCTTTAGATTCCTCCTGATGCACAATATGTTGGTGTCTCCAATATTAAATTTGATTGAGAGGGAAGGACAAGAGTCTGAAGGTAGACAGTAGAGTCTCATTTACATAGATTAGTGTGGTCACCACAAAACAGGATGAGTAAATTCCTACAATACTCTCTGATAGGTGTGTGTACCTGGACATTGTAGTTCTTCATTCATTCATGGCTTTCCACAGACAATTAGATAGGAATTGTTTTGTCCTCCAGGACCACTTGGAGTTGGCATCTTGAAAACTTGAGGAAGTACTCTGGAGTGTTGTGGGGCCATGTTGAGGCCGCTGCATGGAATATAAGTCAAAGGAACTTATAGTGGCTCTTGAACTCTGTTTTATGGTTCCTTCTTTGTGTAGACATTTCACTACTCCTGTTTTATGACAGTGTCCTGTGGTAGGCACTGTGGTCCTAGGCCCCAGAGTGTTGCCACAACAAATAGTTTGGTTCTAGTACAATTTGTTGTCTCCAAACTACACTAGTCCTCTACCAGTCTGTGACGCCTTTGAGTATGGAAGAGTGTCTTATGCTATTCTGATCCAATGGTGCCTGGAATGAGCTTGAGTTAGGTAGACTGGAGTTCCCTCTCTCCAAGAGAATTCTGCCTTTGGACTTGGTTGGCATATCTCATTCAGCACATTGATTACTTTCTTGGAGACTGTCAAGTCTCCTGCCTTTACTTCTTGTTACCCACCTTTGGCCTCATACCTCTAACCTACTCTACTCTAACAGTACCAGTCTGTGCCTGACTCAAGATTTTCATATTGACTATGATTCTGGAATATTCTTCCTGGATGTTTTCATGGCTGAAATTCGTCTTGTCATAGACAAGATGTTGTTTGTGATATTGACATTTAGCTGTGGTGTGAGTATAGTTGACTTCGTGTTACCAAAGTGATATTACCCAGCATACACACAAAGAAATCCTGAACTCTTGGTGGTTGGCACACACCCCTACAAGTATATTCCTATGTCCAAATTCTAATTGGCTATCCCTTGAGCCTATGGGGATATCCATGCCACACTTCAGTAAATACTGCTTGGGTGACACTCTTTCATAGAACAAAGATTTTTCTGATGATGAATTTGATCAGGCTCTTGTGGAAATAGGTTGTTTGTTCACGTAGAACAGGAGTTTGTCCCTGCTTAAAGGGATGGCATCTTCCTCTGCAAAGACAGGAACTGTCTAGCTTTGCTGATACTGTCATTGTAGATAGAGTTAACTGTGGTGCTGTAACAGAGACCATTGGGAACAACTGTGAATTACCAGCTGTGACAAGGAGTAAGCCACAACTTGCATATAGCCCTTGGAAATTACACTGCTTTATCTGAACAGAGAAATCACCAGCTTGGTTAGGTAAATCAGAAGCTTCCTTCAGGAACCAGGTCCCAAGTTCAATGGATATTGGCTGCCTTTCTAGTCACAATCAATGATTCACTCTGTCTGTAACATGTCTTGGCTATTTATGAATTTTCTCAATATTGTG